TCTTCTTCTTCTTCTTCTTCTTCTTCTTCTTCTTCTTCTTCTTCTTCCTCCTCCTCCTCTTCTTCTTCTTCCTCCTCCTCCTCCTCTTCCTCCTCCTCCTTCCTCCTCTTCCTCCCTCCCTCCCCTCCTTCCTTCTTTCTCCTAACCTACTCTGTGTCCCTCCGTCTCTCCTTCCCTCCTTCTTCTTCTTCTTCTTCTTCTTCCTCCTCCTCCTCCTCCTCCTCCTCCTCCTCCTCCTCCTCCTCCTCCTCCTCCTTCTTCTTCTTCTTCTTCTTCCACCTCCTCCTCCTCCTTCTTCCTCCTCCTTGTTCTTCTTCTTCTTTACCTTCTTCTTCTTCCTCCTCCTCCTCCTCCTCCATCATTTGACTCGGCCTTTTACGCACTCGTCTTTGCTGACATAGGTTCCAAACAATCACCCAGATGGTGAGGGTATGGAGAAACGAATGCCTGCGTGTTTTCCACGACCGGCTGATCAACAAGGCAGATAAAGCTCTGGTAAGTTCTTCTTTTTGAAACTCCTAATGTACAGTTCCATTCGGGACGTCACATTTTCAGGCTCTTTTTCAAAAAGAACTCGGAGGCAAGATCTGAGCAGACCTTTTTTGATAGAGAAAACCTTAGTTGCACTCAATTTTTAGATCAAGCATCCACAGGCCTGCCTTTTCCCATAAGGCCCCATTCCTTGGTCCCATAAGGACCAAGAGACTCATACTTATGACTGCTGCAGTGTCCTATTTTTACTGTAGCTGCTCACCAACACCAGCAGAGAGCTACACGTGCAGGATCCCAGAGTCTTATCTGTTGTATTTGCAGAAGGCATAGAACTTGCAAAAAATGTTCTTTAGGGTTTCATTGAGTCTCGATCATCAAGTGCAGATTTGATCCTTCAACTCCAGATCCCAAACCATTTGAGCTACAAATTCAGTGGGGTTGCTAATTCTGGGATGCGTTGCAAATTCTGGAGTTGACTGGTGGCTTTTCTGGAACTGTCCAAGGTCCAAGGCCTTATACAAGGCCTGCTGGAAACGAATTTCAAAGACTCTGCTGAAAATGCCCTCAGGGACCCCATCCTGTTTGGAGACTTCCGAACGGCCTTGAACGAAGGGGAACCTCGCGTTTACGAAGACATCCAAGATTATGACGCAGCCAAAGCTCTCTTCCAGGTACGGAGCTTCCAACTTCAGGAGGAAAAATATCTTGGCAGTTGAAATGAGGTTAAAGCCAAATCCAGCTGGAGACACTTCCCTTATCCCTGCTTTGCATGTGGGCAGCCAAGCTAGTTTTAACAATGTTAAAGTGTTTCTAAGCTAGTTTTTACGTAGCTGAACAGTATCCAGACTAGTTTATACATAATTGAAGAGTTTCCAAAGTAGCTTTCACTTAGTTAGCATTTCCTAACAAATGTTTACGTTGTTAAAGAGATTTTCCTAACTAGATTTTACATAATTAAAGAGCTTCCAAGTTTGTTTTTATGTAGTTAAAGAGTTTCCAGCTAGTTTTTACATAGTTAAAATTTCCTAGCTGGTTTTTACATAATTAAACAGTTTCCGGCTAGTTTTTACATAGACAACAAGGAGAAAAATCCTCAATGGAATGACCCAATCATTACACACGAGATTTTTGAAGACCTTCTGTCTCTTCCACACCTCCGATTTGGAGAATCTTTCTTTGTCACCTCCTGTTTTTTAACTTGTGGCTTCACCCCCAAGCCATCATTTGTGTCCGTCTTTGTGCTCGCAGGAGATTTTGGAGGAATACAATGAAGTGAACACAAAGATGAACCTCGTGCTGTTCGACGATGCTCTGGAACACCTGACCCGCGTTCATCGTATCATTCGAATGGACCGGGGCCACGCGCTGCTGGTAGGAGTCGGGGGCTCCGGAAAGCAGTCCTTGGCGAGATTAGCCGCCTACACCGCGGGATGTGAGGTGAGCCGTGCAGCTCCAACCAAAAAAAAAACACCTTTGTTGTAGTCCAGTATTTTTCAACATTGGCAACTTTTTAACACAAGATGTGGAGTCCCATTCGGTCCTAATCATCAGACAGTTCAAATTCTTGGAGTCTTGGGCCACCTTCATCAGTCTGCTTTCAGGGATGCACCAAATCTCAAGCATGAGCCAATTTAAAAAAAAAATGGTGGGATTTTGCTAGTAGAGCTCTCTGGGTTCACATTGACACTTTCACCTATTTTCTTAAAAATGTGGCAGAATTGAAAATTGCCAGTCTTCCTTAGGCTTTGAAAAGCTGATTTAAAGCTAATTGGAGAGACATAAATTCAATAAACAAATACATAAACTGAAATAGCAATAGCACAGAGTTATATACTGCTTTACAGTGCTTTACAGCCCTCACTAAGCAGTTTACAGAATCAGCCTCTTGCCCCCCGACAATCTGGGTCCTCATTTTACCCACCTTGGAAGGATGGAAGGCTGAGTCAACCTTGAGCCTGGTGAGAATCGAACTGCCAAATTCTAGGCAGCTGGCAGGCAGCAGAAGTAGCCTGCAGTACCGCACTCTAGCCACTGTGCCACCTAATAACACAGAAGAAAACCCTTAACATCCGAATACGAGGTTTTAGTAAAACCTAACCCTAAGTGAAAAAAATAATAATAATAGGCCAATGGATGCGTCTTTCACCTTCTTTTAGGTCTTTGAAATAGTTCTCAGCCGAGGATACAGCGAAAACAATTTACGGGAAGACCTCAAGATTCTCTACACGAGACTCGGGATCGAGAATAAAATCGTCGTCTTCCTCTTTACGGATGCCCACGTGGCAGAAGAAGGGTTCTTGGAGCTTATCAACAACATGTTAACCTCAGGTATTTCAAAAGCGCACTGGACATTTTCATTTGCCAGCCCTGCAAGAGCCTTTGCGTTTCAGGTGGTTTCCTATGGCTCTGGTAGAGAAGATGACCAGAGCTGTTCTTTTATAAAAAACACTCATCTCTCCCTGTAAATATCCCTTGAGTGAAATGTGTTTTTTTTTACCTGTCTTCTGTTCTCAACCGCAGAAGATCTGGTAGCCTAGCTACAATTTTGTATGATAGGAGTGGGACGTACTTCTGGTTTTAAACTGCCTTAATGTTCCTTCAAATCCGCCCCCACACCCCGGTTTATGGCAACTCGAGAACAGGAATAGGAATGTTTTACAAGTTGATAACATGTTTGTGGAGATTCTCAACCATCCAGGTCATGGTTGTCCCAAAGGGGCTTTTCCACAAGGCAAGTGGACTTTCTTATGTTTTTTTTTCCGTTGCAAGTGTTTCACTTCTCGTCCAAGAAGCTTCTGGGGCCTCCAGAAAACATTCGTTTGCCCCCTTGAATTAGCACCCAACTACCCTCTTCCCTCTCCTTCAAGGCCCACCTTTGCTCTGGCTGTGGCAACATCCCCCACTTCCAGTCGCTCATCTCCCCTTCTTCTTCCTCTGGTGCTCCACAGGCATCGTCCCAGCCCTCTTTGCGGATGACGAGCGAGACAACATTTTGAGTCAGATCACCCAGGAAGCCATGAAAACAGGCATCGCCCCAGCCAAAGAGAGCGTCTGGCAGTACTTTGTGAACAAGAGCGCCAACAACCTCCACATTGTCCTCGGGATGTCCCCTGTGGGGGAGACCCTGAGAACGCGCTGCCGAAATTTTCCAGGTAACCCCTCCAGAGGGCAGTTCTTCCCAACAGTATCAAAATGACCCAGCAGGCCACAGAGGGGCAAAAGAGCAGGTGGCCTGTAAGAGCGGAAGGGAGAGAGAAGATTCTCAGTAAAGGGGGATATTTGTAGCTCAGGGTTGAAATGTGGGCTCCATGGTGCTCTCTGAGCTTGTTTTCTTGCAGACGTTTCATGGTCCAACTAGGTGACATCATCAGTGCTAAAAGGGAGTGGAGGTTTTGGAGAGGAGGAGGAGGAGGAGAGCGGGGGACAACTAAGATCCTTGGTGTACTCTCTGAGCTTGCAGACGTTTCATCACCCAACTAGGGCACATCATCAGTGCTAGAAGGGAGTGAGATTTATGGAGAGGGGAAGAGGATGACCATGGCTTCCTTGTTGCTCTCTGAGCGTGGTTGTTTCATGACCCAACTAGGGCACATCATCAGTGCCGGTAAGGAGACAGCCGAGCTCGGAGAGCAACAAGGATCCCTCAGAGAAGACTCAACCTGGACCAGGTCTTTGGTTTCTTGATCTGACTTGTCCCCCTTTTCCTTTTTAAAGGCCTCGTCAACAACACTGGCATTGATTGGTTCCTGCCCTGGCCTCCTCAAGCTCTGTATGCTGTGGCAAAGTTTTTTTTGGGTAAGAAGGAGCTTTGAACTGTTTTTCTCTCTCTCTCTCTCTCTCTCTCTCTCTCACACACACACACACACACACACACACACACACACACACAGACCTCTTATACATCCAATGGATGTGCTTCAAGGCAGAGACAGATGTTCTGCCCTGCAAGATTTCTTCTCACGCTTCTCCTTCCCGGCTGTTTTTCTCCTTCCTACAACAAGGATTTCTCACCCGTGTCAACTTCAGTTCCCAGAATCCCCCAGCCAGCATGGGATTTGATTCTTTTCCATTGACTCTCCCCCCCCCCCCCCCCCCCCCAAAAAACCCCATTTCTTTGTCTAGGGAGCAATCCGCTCGTCCCCTCGGAGCACACCGAGGAGCTGATCGCTCACACCGTCATGGTCCACGGTTCGGTTGGCGTCTACAGCAAAAAGTTCTTGCAGAAGCTCCGGAGGAGCAATTACGTCACGCCCAAGAATTACCTGGATTTCATCAACACCTACACCAAGCTGCTGGAGGACAAGAATAATTTCATTTTGGGTAAGGAGCGGGGCTTCGAAGGGCCACCTTCGTCAACCCCCTGAATCGGTAAATTGAGTGAAGTTGGGAAAGGGTTATTACACCAGGGTGGATGTGGTGTGTTAGCAGCTGTAAATGCTGATGCAATGAGGATGAGTCAGCAGGGTTATTGCCCCTTTAAGACTGAGGATGGGTCAGCAGGGTTACTGCCCCTTTAAGAAGCTGTCTATATAAGGGAGCCATGAGAGGGCATTTCTCTCTCTCCTCTCGGTGTTTTATCTCCATTGTAGTTCTTCATGTAGGGTTGAGGATTGATCATTTGCCTGGTATGTGCCTAACGCATGTATGTATGTGTGTACATAGCAGTCTTGTATATTAGCCAAAGCCTCTGTGCCCTGTGTTTTGCTCCTGGGTTGTATCACAGTAGTAGTCAAGCTCCAAACACTCTGGCCAGTTCTGCATTCAAATACGCAAGGGGTAAGAACGTCCCCACCGAGGCTTCCTTGTTCTTTCCAGCTCAGTGCAAGCGGCTGGATGGTGGCTTGGATAAACTGAAAGAGGCCACAATTCAACTGGACGAGCTCAACCGGAAGCTAGCTGAGCAGAAGATTGTGCTGGCGGAGAAATCGGCCGCCTGCGAAGCTCTGCTTCAAGAGATCGCCACCAATACGGCCATCGGCAAGTTTTCCACCCTACCTTGTCCGGCTGTGGGTTTATTAAGCGGTTGTTTTCCTTGAGAGGCTGTGAAACAAGTGCAGTCAAAATTGGGTTGAGGGGATTTATTTTTTATTTATTTTATTTATTTTGTCAAGCGGTTATAAGATAACGGGTATCATAGTTATGAATGCATGAAATGGATACGTATAAGGAAAATAACCTAGAAAATACTAGAAAAATTTGTAGTAGCATTGGGGAAAATGTGTTCCTGATAGAGTATTTGTAGTTCTGTGGGGTCCTCTGAGCATGGCGGTTTCCTTGCAGACGTTTCATGACCCAACTAAATAACATAATCAGTGCTAGAAAAGGGGAGGGTTGTGAGGAGGAGGAGGAGGACTGGGGTTCTTGGTGCTCTCTGAGGTTGGTTGTTTTTCTTGCATCTGTTTTTACCCAAGTAAATAATGTCATCAGTGCTAGAAGAGACGGGTTTGCATGTATACAAACAGAGCAAACCCCACCTCCCTTCTAGCACTGATGCCGTTACCTAGTTGGGTGATGAAACGTCTGCAAGGAAACAACCAACCTCAGAGACCATGAATGACTCCACAGGAAAATGTACTCCAGTTAAGACTTAGCTCACATAAGAAAAGAGAATTGCATCAAAACTCAGGGATGTTTTATGGGCAAGATCCGACAAATACGTCTTCATTTGCCTTCTCTGCTTTCTTGAACTTAGACTTTGCACACCCCTCCAATTGTACATCTCCAGGCCTAGATGGACCCCACTCCACGGGTGATCCCATCCCCTGCTGCCTTCCCTCCCGTTCCTAAAAACATTTTTTTTAAAAAAAAACAAAACCCCAGCATCCTAGCTACCTCCGAAGGAATTAAACCGGCCTCTTTGCCAGGCGCTCATTTTCTCGCCGGTTCCTCTCCTTAGCCGAGGAGAAGAAAAAACTGGCCGTCGAAAAAGCCATGGAGATCGAAGAGCAGAACAAAGTCATCGCCGTGGAGAAGCGGGAAGCCGAGACGGCCCTGGCGGAAGCCATGCCGATCTTAGAGGCTGCCAAGCTGGAGCTGCAGAAGCTGGATAAATCCGATGTGACGGAGATCAGGTTGGTGAGAACGGTCAGGATGGCGGCCCCGAGGAAGATCAGGTTTCGCCTTTAAAAAAAAGATCTGTGCCGTTCCAAGTCCCAGTTTGGCTGAGATGTCGTCCTCCTGGCGAAGAAGAGAAAATGGGGGTCAAGTCTCAAGGGCCTTCTTGCGTTCCTTCTCTCTTACAACTTCTCCTCTCTTCTCTCCCTGCTCGGGGGCAGGAGTCTCCAACCTTGGCCACTTTAAGACTTGTGGACTTCAACTCCCAGAATTCCTCAGCCAGCAAAGCTTTGCTGGCTGAGGA